ATGGAAAGCGAGTCCGATCAGGAAGGGAGAAGGCTGGTGAAGGTGGGGGTATTCTGGGGAGGGGAGAAGGTCGGAGCATCCCGGTCATGACTGGGATGGGCAGATATGGCGGGAGCCGAGGGGCAGGCCATCTTTGGGGAACGAGGACTCGCTATGTTAGAGCGATTCCTTGTTCCGGCCCCTCAAAAGGCTCATCCTGTAGTACTGGTGACAGGGGAGCACAGGGCCCTGATTGTAGGCTGCTGTTGCTTAATGCCAGGTCCGTTGTCAGCAAAGCCCCCCTTGTCCGTAATTTAATATTGGACAGCGGGGCAGACCTGACATGTATAACCGAAACCTGGCTGGGCCCTGAGGGGGGTGTTTCCCTCTCGGAGATGTGCCCGGATGGGTTTGTGGTGCTTCATCAGCCTCGACATCAGGGCAGGGGTGGGGGAGTGGCAGTCATCGCTCGGAAGTCCTTGAGCCCTCGTGGGATTCCTGCCCCGGAGGTTGTTGGGTGTGAGTCCCTCCTATTGAAGTTGGGTTCGCGGGTTCAGTTGAGCTTGCTGCTGACGTACCTACCTCCCAGCTGCGTTGCAACAGCCCTGCCTGCGTTGCTGGAGTCAGTAGCCGGGTTGGCGGTGGAGTTCCCCAGACTTATAGTACAGGGGGACTTTAACCTGCCATCACTCGGCGATCGCTCAGAGGCGGCGCAGGAGTTCATGGCTTCCATGGCAACCATGGACCTGACCCAGGTAATTCAGGATCCAACTCATAGGGGTGGTCACACACTCGACCTTGTGTTTCTCTCGGAGCAATGGAGACATGATCTGGAATTAAGGGGAATAGAGATCTCGCCCTTGTCATGGACAGATCATTTCCTATTGAGGCTGGACTTCAGAGCATCACTCCCCCATCGCAGGGAGAGGGAGCCGACTAGGTGGTTCCGACCCAGGCGCCTAATGGACCCAGATCGGTTCCAGGAGGAGCTTGGGGAAATACCTGACTCCCTTGTCCACAACTCGTCCGGGTCCCTGGTTGCGGCCTGGAATGAGGCGGCGTCCGGGACCCTGGATCGAATTGCGCCTTTGCGACCTCTCTGTGGTGGTGGTCCCCGGAGGGCCCCTTGGTTTACTGAGGAGCTCCGGGAGATGAAGCGCCACAAGAGACGTCTAGAGCGACGTTGGAGGGCCAGTAACTCTGAATCTGACCGATCACTATTAAGAGCCTATATTAGGACTTATTTAGTGGCGATAAGGGCGGCAAAGCGTGTTCACTTTTCCGCACTTATTGCGTCAGCAGAATCTCGCCCGGCCGCCTTGTTTAGGGTGACCCGCTCCCTTCTTAAAGTGGAGGAGGCGGAGGAACCCTTGCAGGGGAGAGCTGAGGAGTTTGTTCAGTTTCTGTCGGACAAAATCGCCCAGATTCAGAGAGACCTGGACTCCGACTGGGCAGTGCCAGCCGAGTTGCCAGGGGCTGATCTTAGTCATGTTATCTGGAGCGAGTTTGAGCCTGTGACCCCTGATGAAGTGGACAAGGCCGTGAGGGCAATGAATGCCGCCACCTGTTTATTGGACCGTGCCCCTCCTGGCTGGTTTCTGCCAGTAGGGAGGTGACACGAGGCTGGCTCCAGGCGATAATCAACGCCTCCTTGATGGAGGGGTCTTTCCCGCAACCTTTAAAGGAAGCGGTGGTGAGGCCCCTCCTCAAGAAGCCTTCCCTGGACCCAGCTGTTTTGAAGAACGTTCGTCCCGTCTCCAACCTCCCCTTTGTGGGGAAGGTGGTAGAGAAGGTGGTGGCGTCTCAACTCTTGCGATCCTTGGATGAAACCAATTATCTGGACCCTTTTCAATCTGGTTTCAGGCCCGGCTACAGCACTGAGACTGCTTTGGTCGCACTGACTGATGACCTCTGGCGAGCCCGGGATAGGGGTTATTCCTCTATCCTGGTGCTTCTTGACCTCTCAGCGGCTTTCGATACCATCGACCATGGTATCCTTCTGCGTCGTCTCGGAGAGGTGGGGGTGGGCGGCACCGTACTGCAGTGGTTCTCCTCCTACCTCTCTGACAGGTCGCAGTCGGTGTTGGCGGGTGGACAGAGATCGACCCCTAGGCGCCTCGATTATGGGGTGCCTCAGGGCTCGGTCCTGTCCCCCCTCCTTTTTAACATCTATATGAAACCGCTGGGTGAGATCATTCGGCAACACGGGGTGAGGTATCATCAGTACGCTGATGATACCCAATTGTATATCTCCACCCCGTGTCCTTTCAGTGAAGCAGTCGACGTGATGTGCCGGTGCCTGGAAGATGTGAGGGTCTGGATGGGGGTGAACAGGCTTAGACTCAACCCTGACAAGACCGAGTGGCTCTGGGTCTTGCCTCCCAAAGGCCAACTGGATGGTCCATCTTTAGTCCTGGGGGGGGGCAACTTTACCTCCCTCAGTGCAGGCACGCAACTTGGGTGTCCTCCTGGACTCACAGCTAAATTTGGAACAACATCTATCGGCTGTGGCCAGGGGGACCTTTGCACAGGTTCTCCTAGTGCACCAGTTGCGGCCTTATTTGGACCGGGAGGCTTTACTCACAGTCACTCATGCCCTTGTCACCTCAAGACTGGATTACTGTAACGCGCTCTACATGGGGCTACCCTTGAAGGGCGTTCAGAGGCTGCAGTTGGTTCAGAACGCAGCCGCGAGAGCGATTGTGGGCGCGCCAATGTACGCCCACGTGTCACCTATCCTCCGCGAGCTGCACTGGCTTCCTGTGGGTCTCCGGACGCAATTCAAGGTGTTGGTTATCACCTTCAAAGCCCTTCATGGCATAGGGCCAGGTTACTTACAGGACCGCATTCTGCCGCACAGCTCCCAGAGACCGGTGAGGTCCCATAGATTGGGCCTCCTTCAGGTCCCGTCGGCCAGACAATGTCGGCTGGCGGGCCCTCGGGGAAGGGCCTTTTCTGTGGTGGCTCCGACCTGGTGGAATCAACTTCCCCCCGAGGTTCGAACTACTCCCACCCTGCCGGCCTTTAAGAAAGCCGTTAAAACTCTCCTGTTCCGGCAGGCCTGGGGCTGATGTCCTCGGCGGGCCGGGATATGATCGGACTCGCGGTATGACTGGATTATTTTATTTTATTGTTTTATGACTGTTTTTAACTTTGTACGCCGCCCTGAGTCCTTTGGGATTGGGCGGCATATAAATATTTGTAAATAAATAAATAAATAAATAAAATGAAAATATTTCTTCATCTCCAAAAGAAGCTCCAATCATCCACAGCACATTTTTAATAAACTGATTCCTGAATGTTACTTCTTTTTTGGAATAAAGAACATGACCTATAGCAGACATGTCAAACTCGCAACGTCACGTGACATCACGCAACATATCAGGACGGTTTTGCCATTGCCGGCAATGGGGTGGGAGTGGCTTCCGGATGACACGTCCGGCCCACAGGCCTCCAGTTTGACACCCCTGACCTACAGTATTATTTTCTTTTTAATGTATTGTATATGAAGACAGAAGCAAATTCCTTAATCAGAGTAACTAGGAAGTAAGGTTTAATGTTTCCTAGTTCATACAGAAATCTTGATTTAACTCAGTATGAACAGTTTACATTTTCTGGAAAATAAAAAATAAACAAGAGAGAAAAAGCTGTTAGTTCTTCTGAATGTGAGAAGAGGAGAAAAATGGGAGAGTAGAATATAGGCTCCAAAGAGACTGAAATTGATGGAGCTTGTTTCAAAAAGAAAAAAAGTGACCAAATCAGATAGGAAAAAGGAATGCACAATACTGACAACATTCAGTACACTGTGGATAGAATACAGCTAAGTTTTCATACCATCAATTGTAATTCTGCTTAGAGAGGAAAAGCAATGTTTTAATACTTAAGAGCCTTTCATCTGCAATCTTCCTTCCTTACTGACTTTCTGTTAAAACAGTGATATTCTTTCAGCAATAATAAAAAAAAATTCATATAGAAGTATTTTGTTCCTCTGGTATTTTTAGACCAGGGGTAGGTGACTTTGGCTCTTTTATGACTCGTGGAATTCAACTCCCAGAATTCCTGAGCCAGCCATGCTGGCTCAGGAATTCTGGGAGTTGAAGTCCATGAGTCATAAAAGAGCCAAGGTTATCTACCCTTGTTCTAGGCAATGATCTAAAAATTTAAGGAATTTTGATTCAGATATGGGTTTGGGCATGTCACAAGTAATCTGATTCCTTCCTTCCTTCCTTCCTTCCTTCCTTCCTTCCTTCCTTCCTTCCTTCCTTCCTTCCTTCCTTCCTTCCCTCCCTCCCTCCCTCCCTCCCTCCGATTTTGGAAATGGGTTGTAATTTTCTAAAAAAGCACAAATCTGAGATTTTAATGCAATTCTGGCTAGTTCTTTCTAAGCCATGGCACATTGCCATCCTAACTGCAAAAACTGCAAGGACCTTTTGGGCGGGTTTCCTTTCATTTTTTATTGTATTTTTGTAAGTCCTGGCATTCCTATAAAAATTCAAATCCCTTTCCTCCTATGTTTGGGCGGTGCCACTCCAGCTACATACCAACAACCTTCACAGCTTGAATAGCAGGAAATAAAGGGAACGATTCTGTACAGAAAAACAACTTCAGGAATGTAAAATGTCCTGTAATTAACACATTAATCCTTAGATTATACATCTAGCTCTGCATAATGCATCAAAAGGGGAGGGACAAAGACCAAAAATGATAATACCTATCAAATCACCAATGCAAATGTTTTCAACTTTTCTTTTTTCAAGGCTTCAGTTTGTAACCAGAATCTTATTGTATTGGCAGTAATTAGCATATGCTAAATATTTTGTACAGTACTAGTTAATGAAATGAAATCTGGATTATTTTGTTGTTGTTAATGGGAACAAAACACACAATACCTTCTGTATGCTAGTGGAAGACAAATGATGAGACATCATAAATCCTGTTTACAAAATGGTTAAATTCTCACTTTTACCAAAAAGAAAATATAAAATATTTTCACGACCAGGCAGACATGTTAACAGACTTACCTTCCTTCGCTAACCTTTACTTTGTCTCCAAGGCATTTGAAGCTCTCAATGTAACCAAGACTGCAGTTGATATGATCTGGTTTACATATGTCCAGAAAGTGAGGCCTCAGTCTACCTATTGAATATTTGGCAATGTCTGTCAAAGATTGGCTAACAGCTGCACCAAAAAGAAATGTTCCCAGAGCCTTGTAAATAGTAGCAACGTAGCTATTTCTCACAAATGAATTAGAGTGCAAACAGTTGTGATATACCGAAAGGGCCTCTCCTGTGATTATCTGGAATAAAAAAGAAAAGAATGTTTTAAAAATTGCAACAAAAGTAAAACATGCTGCATACTCAAGTCTGAACCTAGGCTTCCAATGAACTAGGTGATAATTAAGCCTATAAAGGTTCTGTAAAAATAATTTTACAGAACCTTCAGATGACTAGTTCATGGAGTGATCTAAAACAAAGTGAAGGAAATATAAACTTTCCTTTTGTTTGTTCCTGTCCTGGCTTTAATGAACTGATAACATGAACTAGAAACCTTCCCCTCTATCCTTACCATCAGACAAAACACTGCTTCCCGGAAAATCCAGCAGTGGTACCATCAGCAAGGAACACATTTAACTTTTCATCAAATTTCCACTCATTCTTAACCTTTTGCTTAAAAGAAATGGTTTCTTTGCCAAGAACTTGATCGTTCTGGAAATTCAGGAACCAAGTGAAAGGGCTAGACAATAATGTTCTCGCCAGAGATGTTAAAGGCCAACTTTTAAACATGGGAACCTCCCAGGCTTCAGTTAGATAGAATCTTTTAAACCGGACACGCTTCCTTCAGAATATAATGGTTTCCTAAAACAAAAGCAAAGGTGCCAAAGGTGGAAATCTAGAATTATGGAAAATAACAATTTATAGTGTTGGTATTCAACTTGGCTGGAAGTATTTGTGCTTATGTTTTATAACTGATGTTATAATAATAAGCGGATTGTTAATTATAACCATCTTATTCAAATATAATTTTGCAAGTTCTAACTATGGATGGATATCAATTGTATCACTATTCTATTATGCTTTTATTGCCAAACTTTTATCATCCATGTTTATTTCTCATTAAGTTGCCTTGAGGGAGTTTTGCTCTAGAAAGTGCTCTACTTCAAAGATCATTTAAGAATACTTTGTACTTCAGCTTTAGTTTTTCCTGTGCAGTGGCTTATAATGGTTTAGTAAGTGGTAATCTAGGAAATATTGATATCTGATTGAATTATACAAAACCTGGACTTTCAAAAGCTCTTTGGGGAATGGAAACAACTGTCCTGGGCTCACAAGTGAAGGTAAACCATCTTGGGAACAACTCCTCAAGGAGTTTCATTACATTTCTAGGCAAAGTCACTTCTTAGAGAAGCTATGATATTTTATATATGACTTCATGGAACTTTACAGAATATACAAGATACTTAATCTTGCCCTGAAATATTATTTATAGTTTAATATATTATGTCATACTTGTTGCATGCAGTTTGATTACCACCTTGTTAGTTTCAGGGCAGGGATTTAATTAGCACTACTGTCAGACTATTATTTTGTAGCAACAGAAACTCCTGAGTCCAATCCAGTTAACAGTATTTTACTCCATGGTTCCATCAAAGCAGCTTGTTTAATTGCTGGTAGCTATTTCAACTGTAATGCAGGACTAAACATTTCAAATTAATTTTGAATCCTTATTTGATTTGCTCATCTCTTTTGTCTACATATTACTGTGCTTTAATGGTAATTTGGTAAAAGCATCTTGGTTCATGAAATGTATAAACCAGAAATTTGACTTTCCTCAAGAAATCATAATTTGGCAATGAAGTATTTAGCTTCCATTTTTAGAAAAACATAATTAATGCAGTTGTATCTATTTGCTCAAAAGCTGGGCTAATACTTTCCGGTAATGGTAATCCATGGTAACACTAAAGATAATACATTTAAACAGAAGAAAAAAATGGAAGATGAGTTACATAGTTCTTAAATAAGAGTGAATTTTAGTTTATATCTCTTTGAATGTGTGATAAAGGTGATTGGCAATATCAACTGAACTTCAGCGATGTCTACAAATCAGTATCAATGGTAGTAATGGATGGCTATTTATTGTCTACAAGTGTTTTATGATATGGTGTCCCTTAAAGTTTTCCAATTTTTCCTGTTGCTCAAAAGTCTTTCACAAAAATAACAAAAGCAACCAAATTCAATATAATCCCTATACAGATGAGACACCAAGAAAGAAGTTTCTTGTATCAGGAGTACTAGAAGTTCAATTTTAGTTTCTAGATTGTTTGAGTCCAGCAGCTGAATGAGTCAGAATGTCATGCTTTATTAGTTAGGGATGTGGAAACAATATTGATTGGAAGGAAATACATTTAAGATTGTGTCTCCATCTTCCCTACAGATATTATAGGCTTCCAATGTGAAACAGAATCATGTATTTCTACAAGATAGCATATTCAGCTACAGCAATCTTCATTAAAAGGCATATGTGCCTATGTAGCTAACCACAAGACATGAAGTGTTCTTTTTAACAATGCGGCTACTCACTGAATTAATAATAGTGGTCTTATTATATCTGTGGTGCAACCTTTATAATAATATCTCTCACTATGTAATATTGCTTTTAAGGGCCCTAAGGAGTGAGTAGATGTAACTGCCTTTATAACCTATTCCTGCAGTGATTCCGTAGAATCTATTTGCCTTCTGAGAGCATGATGCTGAAAATAAGGTTATGAGCCAGCAAGAATAGAAATATCACCATCTCAGATAACAGTGTACAATCTGTTCAATAATGCATATCATATCTGAACTTAGGGGTGTCATGGAACAGAGGTAGCCTACGTTTGCTGAATTGGATTCCTGAGGCTACAAAAGATCAATACCAAAATATTTTATGGACATTTCACTCCATGTGGCAGCAAGAGTTTGTGAGCTCAGTTGTCCAATCTGACTACTAAGAGCAGACGTATCTGAACTTCAAAACTCTGGATGAATACTCTTCTTGTTACTGTATCATAGTCATTCAGATTTTAACAGCTCAGTTTGCCTACTTTCATTTCATCTTGGAAAATACTTGAACTTGTTTTTTCTATCTTCATAATGTCAACATTTAAAGGCTTTTCAGTTAGTTAAATGCTGCAATCTATTGTTCACAAAGGAATATAAACTTTTAAAGAGGGAACAGTCAAAAAGCCAGTTCTAGGCATTATTTTCCAGAATATAGTAGAATATAGTATGTAGTAAATATATAGATTAGATAGTTAATAAAGACTGGAAAAATCTAGACTGGAAGACAGCCATTTAAAAAAAATGCATATTTGAGGGGAAAAAAGGTTAGAATGATTTCTCCATTTATGTGCTTGACATTCCACACAGGTCTGGAAGCTTTTTAATAAAAATAAAACAACAAATTGTTACTTCAGGCTCCACAAATGCCAATTAAATTACCCAATTCTTCTGATTTATTTTCTACCCAACATATATATGAAGCTAAACCCAATAAAAGCCTGTACTTGTTCATTTATTTATTTACTTACTTATTCAATTTCTATAGCAATTTCTGAGCAATCTTGGACTAACATAGTAAATTTCATTGTTTTGAATTATTTATTTTAACACATTTTAAGCTTGCCTTTTTTCTATCATACAACTGAACACAAAAGTTTAGGCACACCTAATGAAATTATACATTTCAATGAATCTGTAAGTAAATAGAAGTTGGCAAAGGTAAATGTGACATCTTCCTATAAATCTGAATGCATGCTATTTTTTTATGAACAGTCATTACCTATTCAAAATAAGAAAATAGCACCTATGGCAAGTGCCCTATCATCCATACAGTACTCAAAGGGAAAACAAATACCAAAATTTTGGAATGTCTTCATAATCTTCTATCTTGAATAATATTTAAAATCTGTAGGAGCTCTCAAACAAGCAATGCATTCAAGGATATATTATAATGTTTTTAAACTACGGGAGAATGGAGAAAAAAATCAAAATGCAAAAAGAATGATTTGGAAACTATTATTTCTGCCAAAAGAAAGGGTGTCCAGATTTCCCCATCTGTCATATTCATTGTTTTCTTACTTGGAATCTGTAAACATAAATAGTAAGTAGGCATTTAAATTTGAGGAAGGATGTCATACTTAATTTCATACTGTGTGTCAGATTCTGTTTACCTAGAGATTCGCTGAACATACAAATTAATCAGGGGTGCCTGAACTTTTTCATAAAACTAAGGTTCCTCTGCTTGTATAGTTTGAATGAGTCTTTGATGGGACATTACACTAGAAGTCAAGAAGACTAGCAATTTTTTTTAGAAATTCAGTTTTCAATACAGAAAATTAGGTAAAAATCCTTCAAATGACTTTTTATAAATGCTTAGCATAAGTTGGAACAAACAAGGCAAATCCTTTCCTTTTTAGTTAATGTGGTCATGGTTATAAAACCTTGAGAAGATCCTTGACTAAAATGGTTTGAAACTACTTTCAGAACAGTCAGTAATAAAATAGCAAAATGTGTTCTGGGAATTACTGAGGTCAAGCTATTTTTAGTTAAACTTAAGAGAGCAAAAGAACAGAAATCAGAAGGAAAGATTAATCCATTCACTTATGCTGCATTTCTGCTGCAAAAATGTAAATCATGTTACATTAAACCATCAACAGTCACTTTTCCCACTTCTTAAAAATGCAGTAATAAATGTTGTCTCTCTTTCAATATGTACATATCTGGGATTTTAAAAATGGGCATGCAAAGCATTTTATCCACAGAGTCATTAAGAAAAAGGCCTCCTTTGATGTCGTATAACTATTATACAAACATTTTTCTAGTAAGAAAAAGTCTTACTAGAAATAAGCTAAACTATAATAAATGTGCAGCTTAATATTAGGGATACACAATTACCTGTCTCAAGGCATTAAAAAAATATCAAATATCATTATGAGGTCCATTTGATTGAGCAAACACAGAAATAAATGGTGGCAGATGGAACTCCAACAACATTCTCTCTATAGAGATCATTATTTTATTTCTGCCTCCTATAATGGCAACACTAACAGAAAGAGAGAGAGAGGGGGGAGAGAGAGAGAGAGAGAGAGAGAGAGAGAGAGAGAGAGAGAGAGAGAGAGAGAGAGAGAGAGAGAGAGAGAGAGAGAGAGAGAATCCCATTAAATTAAACAAGTTGGCAGTCTCCTATATCTCTGGTGATTAAGTTGCAGATGTTCCATGTTGCTTAAATAGCTAATTTAAAATAAAAGGCAAACATACA